GTCCTCAGCCACAGGTCAGTAAGCTCACAATGGATGTGCATCCAGGTGCTCTCTGCTGGGAATGATTCCTTGAAAAACAAAACCTGATAAATGCTCAGTCTCTCAGCACTCAGTTACTTCGGTAGTAGGTAGCTGGCTCAGGGCTGAGTTGCACCTTGGCTCTAGGCAAGACAGAACTGCCAGACAGTGATAGTTTTTTGGATGAGAAACTTGAGGAAAAAAACATTGCACATACTGTCCCTCTGAGGAAAGATCCTTTTTGTGCCAATCATTAATATCCAGGCTTCTCCTTTTGCATATTTCTGCTGGCACTATAATGCCCCAAAATAAAAATCTGTCATGGAAAAAACAGAAAACATAGGCATAAAATATGATAAACCATCTTGTTTTGCTCAGCACATGGGCAAAGGACATTTAACATTTCTGATGCTTGATTGATCACACTCAGAAATATAAGTAGGAACAATGATCTGTAGAAATGGCCAAGTAGAAAAGTAGAAAAGTTGATCCAATTAGAGAAAATGCCTGCAAACTAAAGAGTGTTAATCCCAGCATAGAAAATAAATAATTAAAAAAAAATAAAATCACATATATTGAAATTTAGATCTGCCCCAGTTCTGTTTTTTTTTTTTTTTTTTTTTTTTTTCTTTTTTTTTTTTTTCAGCTCCCGCTGTGAGATCTCTGACTCACTTCTGTGGTCAGGTCCAGAGAAGTAGGGGTTTGGGTATTTCTTTAAGTGTTACACAAGAAGTTAATCTACATTAACTTTGAAGAAATGTTAAGATCCTCATGCTGCCAATTTAAGTCTTACAGAAATTCATCTTTAATCTGAGTTTTAGTGTCAATGACCAGTTCATTCCCTTTAAGCAAAACTGAAGACATCCCTGTCCAAACTCAAAAACTCTGAGTAAGATACCTGAAAAATGTATTTTTGATACAAAACCAATTAGTATAATTTCTTTTATATCTATGAGCTGAGCAAATTTTGGAAGTGTATGATTATTGCACTGTTCTTTTTTAAGCCCCTCATTTTCAAACACAATTTCAGTCTTTCCTTTAGAAGCTTTAACTTCTGTAGTCTGACACAGAACCACAGTGCATGCTTAGTGCACTACAGTTTTGTTTACATCCTTTTTTCATTCTCAAATATTTCTTTAAGTAAAATTGCAATGGCTAAAATACATACCATTTTGGGAAATCTATTTGCTTTAAGTCATAGCTGAGGCCAGCACCCTCCTCCCTTTTAAGAACTGTGAATACTGCCTACTCTTGGATGTTCTGAAGTGTATGTTAGGTTATTTTTTCCTATTTGGTGAAAAATCATCCTCTAATTTTAGCCTAATAAGTGAGAGTTTGGTAGCTCACAGGGAGCTGTCCTTCTCAGTTGGGGTCATTTTGTTGTGCAGCTCCTTTCTTTCTAAGCACAGCTGCTGGAGTTCAGCAGAACAATCTCTAACAAAGCTATTTTAAGAAAAAACAATATAGCTGTTAGAAATGTTATCACTTGAATTAACACACTCAATTTTATCTGGGGGAAGGCTGTGCTAATGGGCATCAGGGACTCCCAAGAAGATAAAACTGTAAGATATGAGTATGCTCTCAGAACAGCAGTCATTAGTATTGCAAATGATATCTAATATCCTCCCTGTCTTTGGTCTGGGTTTTGAGCTTTCTGTGTTGTGTCATCTTTTGCCTCACTTGCTGACCCAGTCTCACCTGTCCAAGCATGTTTATTACTGAAAAATCAAATTATCACTTTTGACATGGGAAATCCTAGGGCATGGAATTTGCAGTGCCAGCAAATGGAAAAATCCTGAATGAACAAAGAAGAAAACAAAACACTTTCTGAGTTAAAATAACCTTCTGGCTATAAATTTACTTACCTATATACTCATAAAATTAAAAAATATATAAATTTTAATGATAAACACTGATGCCAAATAACAAATTTTAGAAAATATTTGATGATGGATCTTGGAGATACAAGCTACCCATTTTCTCTACGGTCTTATAGAATAGCCATCACTGATTCTGAAGGAGTCCTCAGAGATTCGTTCATGTCATTAATGTCTATTACATGTGCTGTCTTCTCCATTCCTCTCCTCATAAGTTGTACATAATGTTCTGATGGACTGCATGTTGAACACAAGTCAGCAGCGTGCTCTGGCAGCAAAGCAGGCCAAAAGCCTCTTGGACTGCATTAGTGAGAGCACTGCCAGCAAGTCAAGAGAGGTTATCTTCTCTGCTCAGCACTAGGGAGACTTGTCCAGGGTTCTGGGTCTAGTTTTGGGCTCCTCAGTACAGAACAGATATGGAGGTACTGGGGCATATAAAGCAAGAGGCCACAAAGATGTTTACAGGATGAGAGCATCTGACATATGAGGAAAGGCTGAGAGCTTGGATTGCTCAGTCAGGAAAAGATGGCTCACGGAAAAAATTATCTTTTTCTATAAATAAATATAATTTGAAGGGGGGAGTAAAGATTGAGACAGACTCTTCACTGTGGTGTTCAGTGGTGGGACAAGAGGCAATGGGCACAAACTGAAATATGGAAAATTCCATTAGAAAAAATTTTTCACTGCAAGGGTGACCAAACACTGGAACAGTTTGTCCAGACAGGTTGTGGAGTTTTTATCCTTGCAAATAATCAAACCCAACCGGACATAGCACTGGCAATCTGCCCTCCCTGATATGCTTTGAGCAGGGGAGGTTGAACTGATGATCTCAAAAAGTCCCTTCCTCCCTCAACCATGCTGTGATTCTATGATTTGTTGAAAGTTATTCTGGCTATAAATAATCCTAAAGCACAAGAAAGCTTGCAAATAGATTAAAACTTTTAGACCCACGTCTGTTTTCTGTGCAAATCTATGCAAAGCTATGGACAGTTCATTTCAATGATGTTCAAGTTCACTCCAATACTCCAGATTTATCTTCAGGATATATATAAGTGCTGGCTAGCATCAGCACTATCTTCAGACCAAGTACCTCACTTCCACTTTGAGTTTAGTTCAAGTTCATACTGGCTCTGTATCCTGAATATCACAAATCCTCTTGGAATGAGCTTGGAACTTATCTGCACAGCTAGTCATGCAACCTAACTCCAGGAAGGAACAGCCACACTTTGCAGAGGGTGAAATTTAGGCTGTTGGCTTTCTAAAGGTTAGGCATCCTATCTGAATTAGTCATCTGTGTCCTTACCAGACACAATCTAAAGGTACAAAATGTACACTCCTAACGTAAACTAATTGCCTAGACTCTGCACAGTTAGTGGAAGGAAATAGCTAATCTCTTGCTTCAAGGCAGATGTCTAAAACCATTAGATGTCTCATTCTTTAGAAGTGTCTTTTTCTCTCCTCTGCCTACAAAAAGATTCTGAATAATTAACTCAGATACAGATGTTTATAATATAGATGTCTAAAATTAGATAAGCTGACTTTGACTATCAAGGATCATGAACCCAGATGTCAAGTGAGTCTCGGTGTCTTGCTAGCTTGCTAACTACTTTCAACATGCTGGCACTATCATTAAGTCATGCCTGGGAGTGCATTAGCAGTAACATGACTGGGAGGAGTACCTAATTTAGCTTAATCCCTAGTCCTATAGCTTCTCATACACAGTAGTAAATTGGCACAATGTTGCTCACCAGTGGATAACCTCAAATACCTCTTTCCCAGGCATATCCTGTTTTCTCCATCCATCTATATGATGAGAAAGAACATTTTCTTGTTCAGCAGTGCTTCCAAAATTTGTGGTCAGACATTTACCCTGCTGCTGAATATCTCTGTGAACTCAGGCATGTCTGCCAAACTCCTGTTCCCAGTTATTCAGGTCTTAGGATTCTGCTGAAGTTAATAGCAATGGGTTGGTTGCCTGAGAATCTTTGAAGGTCAGAGAACTGCTCTAGCACATGCAATGCTCAAAGTTGCAAGAGAACAACATTCATCTGAATTTGTGCCATTAGCAACAACTCTTTATTTCACATCTCTGTGAACTGTTCTTACAGATATTATTTATGGTGAAAGAAAACAAACAAATAACAGAGCTATCTATCTGAAAGGAATCATGGAGGGGTTCAGATAAAGGGGAAAGAAGAGCAAAGCAAATGGGGTGTGACAGATAAGTTCATGGCATTCTTGAAAGTGTTGGTCCACCAATTAATTGCGGTAATAAAAGCACACATTATGTAACTTTATGTCAAACACCTCTCACTTTAATGCCTCTGAGTAATAGGCACAAAGAGAAAATGGAGGCTTCTATAAATACAGGAATTAGCTTCTGTAAGCTCGGTCTCTTTAAAATTAGATGTTTGCTTTAAGTATCTGAATGATACACGTTCAGATCTCTCATTGCTGCTAGCCCACGAGCTGACAAAATAAACACTTTCACTATTAAATTCAAATCCCACCACCTGAAGGTATCTTCAGACAAAAAAGTACAACTTGTAACAACCTTTTATATACAGTACATCTGTTCCTATCTAAGTATACCAAAGGCAACCTCTTTAAAGAAATCTTTCTTCTCATCAAGGTGGTATTATACTGAGAACATACTCATTTGTATAGTAAATGCTGTGCTGAACAGCTTACTTGGAAGGAGTCTTCTTTTTATTATTATCATTGTTATTGTTATTATTATTATTATTAGCACATTCCTAGTTAGCACAAAACCATTACTCACTGTTGATCTATGGACTGCAGGTGCAGACTGTAAGACATATCATTATAGATTTTTTTTTTAAGTCAGCAATGAATACCACTGACAGCTTAAATTAAAGCACAGAATTTTTTCCCCAGATGCCTTCCATTTTGGGAAATGGCTTTAAGGTCTGTCTTTTCAGACATATAGTAATTCAGAAATATAGTAATTGGCTTGGGCTGGAAGGGCCCTTAAAGACCATCTAATTCCAACACCCATGACATGGGCAGAGATGTCACCCACTAGACAAGGTTGCCCAGGGCCTCATCCAACCTGGCCTTGAACATCTCCAGGGATGGGGCATACAGAACCTCTCTGGGCAACCTGTTCCAGTGCCTCACCACCCTATGAGTGAAGAATTTCCTCTTAACATCCAATCTAAATCTCCTCTCTTTTATTTTAAAACCTTGTCCTATGACTATCTGCGCATGCAATAAGTTGCTTTCCATCTTTTTTATGTCATGTTTAAGTACTAAAAGGCTGCAATGTGCCCTCCTAGCCTTCTATTCTGCAGGCTGAACAGCCCCAGCTCTCTCAGACTTTCTTATAGGAGAGGTGCTCCAGCCCCCAATCATCTTTGTGGCCTCCTCTGGACCTACTTGAACAGGTTCACACATTACTTGCACTGGGGGCCACAGACCCCAAGGGATGCAGGACTCAAAGTGAGGCCTCACAAGGGCTAAGCAGAGGAAAATAATCCCCTCCCTCCACCTGCTGGCCACTCCTCTTGTACTTCTTGTTGCAGCCCAGGATGCAGTTGGCTTTCTGGGCTGCAAGCACACACTGCTGGCTCATGTTAAGCTTTTTGTCCACCAGAACCCCCAAGTCTTTTTCCACCAGAACCCCCAAGTCTTTTTCTATAGGGTTGCTCTCAATGAATTCTCTTCCCAGTCTGTACTCATGGCTGGGATTGCTCTGACCCAGGTGCAGAACCTTGAACTTGGACTTATTGAACCTCACATGTTCACATGGGCCCACTTCTCAAGGTTCATTTGGATGGCATCCCTTCCTTCTGTTGCATCAACAGTACCACTCAGCTTGGTGTCGTCTGCAGACTTCGTGAGGGTGCACTGTCTATCCCACTATGTAATTGATAAAGATCTTAAACAGTACCTGTTCCAAGACAGACCCCTGAGGGAAACTGCTTGTCACCAGCCACCACCTGGACATAGAGACATTGACCACCACTTTCTGGGTGCAGCCTTCAAGCCAATTCCTTATCCACTGAATAGTCCACCCATCAAACCCATATCTTTCCAGTTTGGAGACCAGGATGTCATGTGGGACTGTGCCAGAGGCCTTATGGAAATCCAGGTAGATGACATCTGTCGGTCTTCCTTTGTTGAGCAGTGCAATCACTTCATCATAGAAGGCTACCAGAAAGGTCAGGCACAATTTACGCTTGGTGAAGCCAAATGTTCACAACAAATGCTCACAACATTTATAAATGTTTGTAAATAAAGGCAAATGTTCACAGAATTTTATTAATGAAAATAGTGATAGAAAGGTTTTTTGTTTTTGTAGTAGTATTTATATTGTTAAAGCCTTTCTCATTATGAAGAAATGGTGCAGCAAAAAGCAGGCTGTAGGAAAGAAGAATTATTCAAGGGAAAAATTCTGAAGGCTTGCAATTGGTCCCTGTGGACTTATTTGCAAACAGCCTGACAACAGCACTGCTCACCAAACCCTTGGGTGCTGTCCCTGCAGAAGCATGTTTTTTCTCTTCATTCCAACTCTTTACATACCAAGTTAATAAAATGTTCAGGATTTGCAAACACTTCTCTGGTTAAATAAGTTATTCAGAAAATTATAAGCAGCTCCACAGAAGGAGGAGTCCACTATTGATCCCTCTCTAACAAGAACTTTAATACTGAAATATTTGACAGGCTAATGTCATAACACTTCTACATCTCTCACTATTTATAGGTTTCCTAAGTACTTGTGATCATCGTGTTCCAGTAAAGCATACTAGATGATTCCTAATTTTTGTTTTGATATCAATGCTTTCTTTTATTTTGGACAAGCTAACAGACATTTCTGAGTGTCAGTAAAATGGGGAGTCTCACGGTTCAAGAAAGCAGAGACTGAAAGAAGAGAACATTGAAGGTTAGTTTTCTTTCTCTCCTGATACTCCCCTTTTATTAGCAATTTCCTGAAATAGAATTATGTAAGTTCTTAATTAATAACATAGTCAGAGGTACATTTTGTATTTTACTTCTCTTTCTTGGGAGACAATATAAACAAAAATTATTTCCTATCTTAGAGCATATTAGATCAAGTTAATTTTTGTAAATAGCTTTCACAATGAAAAAAAATCTTGAATAAGTTCCTTAAAGAAAGGGTTGGGAAAACAAAATGCTTAGGTGATTTTAAATAGATTTATTTTTTTTTTTAACAGTTGGTCATAGTATGTGTTGTTACAAATATAGATGATATATTTTCTGTCTGAAATGCACAATATTTCAAGAAGCAAAAGTAAATATTTGAGCTGGTACAATTCCCAAGGAAATTATATACTCATATCTTTTGAAATTGAAGTTCTTCTATGTCTTGGGTGGATCTTAGCTCTTTCCAGTTATCCCAGAGAGAAATCTATAAGATGCCTCTGACTTGAGTATTTATGTATGTGATATTACTGCATCAGAGCATTCTGCAGGCTCTGATGCTTGCCTTTTTTTTTTTTTAAAATATAAATACTGCATGTTTTTTTTTAATAAAGCAGACTGCAGTCTGGAATTTTCTTGGTCTTAAATTAATGTCCTAATCAAAGTTTATTCTGGCTCCCACAGGCAGAGATGATACTTTAATTCTCTGCTGTCACAAGAAGCACAGGAAAAAGACAAGAAAAGGTGATTTCCATGTACTGAAGTCAGATCTTTTCTGAGTGAATACAATTACTTAAGCTAACAGGTAAACTGTGCTTTTTTAACAGGAAAGGAAATAAGTAAATTTGGTTAACAAAGAAGAGTCTGAAAGAAAACAATGCATTTTAACCCATGAAAGTATAAGATGACATTAGACCTGCATAACATACCACAATATACAGAAATTTCTCATAAGACCAATATTATGTTCATAGCATATTAAAAATCCCCTTTATTTTCAAAAATGTGCAGTTAGTTTTATAATTATTGTTCTGTTTCACTATACTCAGCCATCAGCATGTTCCTTTCATTGTAATATATATGTTTAGGGATAATTTTAGGGAGAAAAATATCATCTCCCTGCATGCGATAGCATGTGTTCCCTTTGCATAGGCTGAAATAAGTGAACTGAAGGAAAATGTCAGCTACTTGTGCAGACAGCCAGCTTACGGTAGTACAGAGAGATAGTATACATAAAACAAGAGTGTCACATTTAAATGGCAGCATACAGACATACACACCCTGCATGAGTTGCTCAGCCTACACCACCTTAATGTCCAGAGGCCCTTGCTGACAGGTTAAGAGTAAGTAATTGCATCAGGATTGCTTATGAGCCTCAGTGTCCTGGCAAGGATGTTCAGATCCTTTGTGCTGTGACAATCTCAACTAGCCATGGGGGAGCCTGTGATTTAAAGCAGCAAAGGAAGAGCTGGGTGTAGCATTCTCAATGTGGATTAGAGACACATGCAGGATGAAAACTTGACTCCCTCACTCTCGAGAGAACACCTGTTGCAGTTTAACTTGGCAGACAGCTAAGAACCACACAGCAGTTAGCTCACTCCCCCTCCTACACCAATAATGAGGTGGGAGAGAGAAATTAAAAAGAAAAATAATTTAAAAAAAAAAGTAAAGTAAAAAAACTAAAAAACTCATGGATTGAGGTAAAGACAGTTCAATAAAACAGAAAAGGAATAATAATAATAACAACAACAATGATAATACAAGGCAAGTGATGTACAATGCAATTGCTTGCCACCCTGACATATGTCCAGACCATCCCTGAGCAGGGATCACTCCTCCCAGGCCCAGACAGCTCTCTCACATTTATTGTTCTGTGTGGTGCCATATGGCATGGAACATCCCTTTGGTCAGCCTGGGCCAGCTGTCCTGGTTCTGTCCCCTCCCAGCTTCAGGTGGACCCCCAGCCTCATTGCTAGGAGGGCAGCACAAGAAGCAGAAAAGTCCTTGCCTCTGTGTAAGTACTGATCTGCGAAAACTGAAAACATTGGTGTGTTATTGGTATTATTCTTGTCCCAGCTAAAACCAAGACAAAACTTCGGTTATTCTGAAGAGTCTGATCCCTTCTGCTCCATCGAATAACAGATGTGCTGAGGTTTCTCAGTTCCTATCATTTTTGGCATGGGATGTTATGAGATAGCTCACTGTCATGTTTAGACTTGAGTTTTCAGGACCAATTCAGAGAGACTGAGATTTCTAAATAATCCTTTCTCTAGGAAACACCTATAATTTAAAACTCTTTCAGCAGGTGTTTCTCAGTCAAAAAAAAAAAAAAAAAAAAAAGTCTTTCCAATTTAATTCTTATTTGCAACCTAAGTATTTTGCTGGAATCCCATCAGCTTTTTCTAAGCGATCAATGCCTAAAAGAATTTTTACAAATATGCTCTTGCTCAAGCAGCATTTTGGTATATTCTGTTGCAATTAGATATCAAAAATGCATGTTAACTCCAGATTCTGAAAATATGTGGCATGTCTAAACATGAAAGAATGTGAATAATAATAGTTAATAGCAGTTAGGTAATTATTTGCTTCAGAATATTTACCTTGTTTCCTTTCACATTTGAAATGATGAGGGAAAATGATTGGCTGAGTTTCATTCTCTTTTGTCATCTGAGATTTGTCATCTGACCTTTAACTGGGTCTGATGTCAGGATGATGTCAGGAGAAGTCAGATGGTACGGCAGTCCAGTATTTCATTATCTGTTGCCTCCAAAGGACCTAACTCTTATCTAGCACAGGTCACAGCTTGGTGACTTCTGCTAAGCCTCATGGGGATAAAAGCCTGTCACTCATATATATTGTGGCCTTTGCTTCAAAAACATCAGGATCAAACAGGCTTAGGGAAGGCATTAATTTTCAGATGAGCTGAGTTTTCTAAGCCTGTAAGTTTAAGTTTAATATAGCAAATGAACTCCTTACTGCAGTCTTTTTACTGTGGTTAAAAAAAAAATAAAATAAAATAAGTTTTGTGATTGTCTTCAGAAATATCAATGTCCATTTCTATAATCTTTTGGACTGTGTAATTTAGTGCAAAGATAAGCCATAATGATGTCAAAATGTTAATACTTAGTTGACCAAATGATATTCTTTCTGGTAAGTATCATAACCTCCTCCAGAAGCTACAGAACAAGGAAGGGGATAGGTGGGCAATATGTCTTTAACATGAAACCCTTTCTTGACCCTATTTCAATAAGAAAAGAAGTACTTTCCATTCCCAAGGACCATCACAATACAAGCAAACCAGATTCCAACTCATCAGTGCCTCTGGTCTATTACAGATTGAACATGCTTATTTGTGTGTGTGTGTGTAAATATTAATTAACCTTATTAATAACATTTACTGCTAATAAGCAATAAAGAAGAAAGGAGAAATCAAGCTATAGAAAGACCAGTCTTTCTACAAGTTCCTTGTGTATCACTAAGCAAACTGAAGATGTTCTTTTTGTCTTGGAATGTCTATTGCTGCTGAATGAGAAGAGACCTAAATTTATCCTTCCAATTGTCATCTCAGCTCAAAAAAAAAAAAATAAAGAGAAAAATATACCAGAGAACCTGAGATGGTTAGAAATCATACAGGATTTATTCTTTAAGGATTAGCACTCTATTTATGCTGCTATTGAACTTTTGAAGTTCAGATGTCTTCCATCAAGTAAGCTCAGCTGCCTTTGTATTACACTTTCCTGCATTTCAGATTACAAGATTATCTGAGAGATGAACAAATTTTCAGCACTGATTTGGATAGGTATTTTCCCACTTTCTTGCTCCATAGAATAAAATCAATATTGTAATCCACTTTGAAAGAGTTTGTGTTTGCTCAGTGACAGCCATATGTTCAACTGGAGGGTGAAATACTTTGGATACTGAGGGGTTACCATGTAGAGTTGAATTACAATGAATTAACACATGAAAAAGTCATTTAAAAATATTTTAATTTATTATTATTACAGGTCACTTGTCTAGGCAAAATGATTTAATAAAAAGAGCTTTTTAATCATGATAGAAACATATTTTCATCAAAGTGAGCTGCACACTTTAATTAAATAGGATAGAAAACAGAAGATAAGTTCTGCAATGTTATCTTTTGTTGAGGTTCCAGGGGATGAAGGAAATCCTTTCAAAAGCTGACCTTTCACAAGGAAAGCCCATTTCAGTATGTATCTATTTCTTATCTCTGCATGAGTGATTTATGCAGGTAAGTGCCTGCTCTTGAGATGAGAAGATACTTTGTCAAGCATTATAATTCCAAGCAGTAAATTGACCGACAGGTCTAGAGCCTATTGTTGTGAAAGAGACATTATTCCTTGGAAGGTTATAATGGATTAAAAAGCCTTTATTTCTTAAAGTGCAGATTGTAGCTTAGGTGACTGCTAAAATCAAAACTGATATCAGTGTATTTTGTGGCAAGAGGAATCGGAAGGTATGTCAATTTACACTTGCTAAACCATATTTCATATTTTATTTTGTCTATAAGACATGTTGAAAGCCATGGACCCATATTCAGCTCTTTGTGTTGATTTCAACAAGGCATATCATAAAAAAGTGTAGGTTGCTTAACAAAACTGTGGGAATTTAGAGCACAAATACAAAAGTTAAACATGGATTTATGCTTGCAAGAAGAGCCCTAATGTAATGTTAGTTCCATTATCATCATTTGTAGTCAGTTTTGTTGAGCATACCAGTTGTTACAAGAAAAGAGTGTGGGTAGAAAAACATTGTCAAAAAGGAGCCTCTCAAAGTCCTTCTGTTTTCTTAGTGCGCTCAGACAGAGGCCAGGACAGCTTTGACTGGGCCTGTACTTCTGAACTGTGCACCTAATTACACACTGCCAGACTTACCCAGGGAGGCTATTTGCAAGCATCACTGAGTTTGCTGGATTCAGTCACTTTTTTTTGGACTAGATGATGTTGTAGGTCCTTCCCAACCTTGTGTTTCAAGATCCAGTTTGCCAGGGCCCCATCCAGCCTGGCCTTGTAGACCTCCAGGGATGGCGCATCCACAACCTCTCTGGGCAACCTGTTCCAGTGTCTCACCACCCTCATGGTAAAGAATTTCTTCCTAACATCCAATCTAAATCTCCCCTCTTCTAGTTTAAAACCATTCCCCCTTGTCCTATCATTATCTACATGAGTAAAGAATCCCTCTCCACCCTTTTTATTAGAACCCTTTAAGTATTGAAAGGCTGCAATAAGGTCTCCCCAGAACCTTCTCTTCTGCAGGCTGAACATCCCCAGCTCTCTCAGCCTTTCTTCATAGGAGAGGTGCTCCAGCCCTCTGATTATCTTTGTGGCCTCCTCTGGACTCTTTCTAACAGGTCCACATCTTTCTTGTGGTGGGGGCCTCAGACCTGGACATAGTACTCCAAGTGGGGCCTCCCAAGGGCTTACCATAGTAATAATCTTCTGTCAATCACTAGGTCCACATCTCTCTGAGTTAGCCTAACTGCAGAAAATTTATTATTCAAGAGCTGGTAAGGAAGGACAGGGGTGTAATATTGACTGTGCTTAAACAATGAAACATAGTAGAGTCTAGCCTCTTATTTATATTTCTTTAACTGAGGGAGGGAGAGAGAGCTAGGGAGACAAGAGAAATTAAAAATTAAGGCTTACAAATGTGCTATCTGTAGCTAATTGAGTAGCTGTGGATACTCTTGTTCTTTGCATTCTTCCTGTGATTTGTTAGGGGGAACTCATTGTTCCAGTGAACAGCATCCATTTTTGAAATTATTTTCTGACTGTCAACACATGAGGTTAAACCACAACCTCTGATGCAGGCACAGAGGCATTTTACTTCACTTTAAATATTTACAAAACAGGGACATCTATCCAAGGTAGTTGCTTAAAAGCCTTTTTACTGAGGCCACTGATTATAGTAGAGAATCAGCCATCTGTACAAAATGAAACTTCCCATCTAACGTAAGTGTCAAAAGTACATTATGAATGCCTCCAAGGAGTGTCCTATAAGCTTGAAAAATGAGAAAACACTGATGTATGTATTATATGTGCTAAAAGGGCTTTCAATGCACTCATTAGAGAAGGGTCTGATCTTATCCTAACAACAAAGTGTCCCAGCTTTGCTTAGCTTTGAGCAAAACTCAACTTTGAGCTCAAACTGATACTGTTACTGCCACAAAGGGTGGCAAATACAACTCAATTTCTTCATTCCTATGAGTTATCAGTATTAATTTAACATGTGATTTCCTAATTAAATACAAGCTTAGAAGACATTTTGAAGATGAAAGAATTCCATAAGGTTATCAAAATGATCTGTGAAGCAAAGGTCAGTTTTAGAAGCAGTCCATATCAGTGCAGGAGAAAAGAACAAAATGCTCTGTCCAGGCTCATATAAAGAATGAAGTGTAATTTTCAGAGAAAATACTCAGAATAAAACTCCACAGACATCAATTGCAACTATTAATGCATGTTATCAAGACAAGGTATTTCAATATCTGTTACTAAACTGGGTAATCCATCCATACTGTGCCTTGTTAATTAGAGCTTTGGGTGATCCTGGGAAGTGAACTATCTGTGGTTTAAAGGAATCAGGAAAATAATAGATTCTAAGGCAGTATCAAAGGAGGGAAAGGGGGAAGGGGAAAGGGGAAGAGAGGGGAGGAGAAGGGAGAGGAGGGGAAGTAATAGCTAAAAATAAACACAGTTTAGATTTAAACAGTAAATATGTAAATACTCTTATCTGTTATATTAAAAACACAGGTTGGTGGACAGGGGTATCAAAGCAATAAAAGCTTTCCTTCAACAGACCCTCAGGTAAGCCTCTGATTAGAAAGTTCTAGGAGGATATGAATGTACCATATGTTGTCACCCTATGGTACACAAGAGTAGTCTCCTACATGCAAGCTGAAAAAGTATCTCATTAGTTTGCTGAGCATAAAGCATGTTGAGTGACAGAGCTGGAAAGATGGCCTTCTATATCATTTTGGGTGGTTTCAAATTCTCTTGTAGTTCTCCTTGTATATTTGAAAGCCTTTCACTTAACCCAAAACAGAACAGATGTTTATTTTCTTTCTGTTCTCTTTTAAACAACAACAACAAAGAATAGCAACTTACTACTTGTAGTTCAGAGTGATGCAAAAGCAACAACACTGTGCTAGATAATGCCAAAGGTAATGAAGAAGCAAAGAATCTTGTTGCCTGAATATGGCAATTGCATTTGCTACAAAACTTTTAACTGAAAACTGGCTTGGTCTTTCCTAGTGACTAACAGAAGATAGTTTACAGAACTGCATACTAATGATAAACCCTTAAGATTTTGTTGCAGCTGCCCAT